TATGCCGTTGGTGGTATCCTGCAACACTACCCACAAACACAAATCCTTCGCCAAGAGGATCCTCAAGTGCCAGCGGTCATTGCATCGCGAGAAGAACCCCGCAAACATCTCTCCCATGAGAGTACTTGCTCGATAGTAACCATCAAGCGCCACGAGATCAGGACTCCCGGACGTTGATCTCATAACTCTCAGATATCGCAGACGACAGGTGCTATGAGATAAACATGACATCCGAACAAAGCGAGAGCTGAGATAGGAGAACGGCTTCGTGAAGAAACGTTTCGTCGTAACATGCCGAGTGCAATGTGTCACAAGAAACTGGACCCAATAGCTCACTAGACTATATCTTGTGATGTGGTTCCCCATCCACGAGGATGATAGAAAATAGGCATGATTCGGTAATAGCCATGACCTCATGTCGATTTCAACTCACCACATAGGTCGCCTTTTCAAGTGGTGGAGCCATCGGATCATCATTGAAAAGCAGAAATCCTCATCTGAGAGGCGTGGATCGGTAAGGCAATTGCTCACCAATCCGAGCACTGACAAATGACTTGATCCGGGCATTAGAGAGCCAGATCATTATGTATTGAAGGATCTCAGTCTCATTATCTCAGTGAATCTGGCTCGTGCTCGATGTGGTTGACCCGTTCCTTAAACACACTTCGAGCACGCGTGTTCTTCTATTCACGTAGGTTGCACTGTGAGCGGATTCCTAGTCTTCCTGCGCAAGGCGTTTTACCGCAGCATTGAATATGCCGACAGCTAATGCAATCGTGTCAGCCTAATGTTTTTATGGCGGGAGGGTACCTATATGGTGGGCAACAGCGGGGGAGATTACAAGGCAGTAACAAGGAGTACGTATGATTTGGCAGCAGGGAACTGGACGACCCATAGTCCTACTCCTCCAAGAGTGCCAAAGCATAGGCGGTGAGTACTACTGAGGTGCAGTGATGCGTCTGCTAGGGAATCAGTTTTGAGGTTGTCTTTTTCGCTACGAAAAAGGATTGAGTACTAGCATTTCTGAGAGATGTTAGGACCCATCCGGGACCGCGTTCCGTTCGGCGGTCTCTAGGGCTCGGCGTAATTTCTTTCGTCACCCTGAGACCAGTACGCCTCTGCAATAACCTTCACTGCTTGAAAACCTTCAGTTAGAGCGGCCAGCGGACCCAGCACTAACCACAGGTGAGCTCTCCTTTCGTGTGAAGCTGCACACTGTTGCAAAAAGGAGAGACTTCCATATATTGACGACTCACGACTAGCCCCAGGATAGCGCGAACCTCATCAAACAATCCCGCTGAACGGTACCATAACTGGCGTTTGGCCAGCGCAGACACAACCAAATCCTCATCGAAGCGCAATATTTCCTTCCCCGAGGCGGCGCCTTTTGTTTAATACGGGATGGTCTGTGTTCTTCTTACATGAGCGAAAACCACACCATACCTTGAGTGCGTGGCATGGGCACCTTCCGTACACTGCAATCCACCTCGGTGAATTGCTGCCCTGGCATCTTGCTCTTGCTGCCTTTCTTGGTGCTTTTGCGGTCTGACCGGTGTCAGTGAGACCTAGCTGATCAGCTCTGGCCTTTGATCTTGTCTGTCTAGCACCTATAGGATTGAAAGCAAGGTCCAAACCCAGGGCTTTCTGCATCAGTTGGTGTCAGCGCTTTTTCTGTTGCATGTGAGATTGCTGATATCTCACAGATTTGAATTTTTTTTTGCAGTAAGGGCACTCAAACTCCTTCTTTGATGATGCCATGGCTGCAAGCTAGCTAGCCAACACTAGCTGCTACTAGTACTAGCTAGGCGCACTGGCTGGTGATTTGGATTCTGTGTGCTGGGGAACCGCCCGCTTACCAATCGGGATATAGTTTATGGTACCAAAGAGAGGGCTTGCCTTCCCGAAAAGACGGTCCAAAAAGTGGATCCCAAATCGTGAAGCAGGCAGTCTTGCCGGGCGGGCCTTCGTTGCATGCCCATGTGGAACACACAATCCCGATTCCAATCACTGCACGCATTCTTGGAAGAAATTACGTCACGGATCGGGATCGTGCTGGTTGGCGTTTGGTACCTGCACGCATGTCGATTCTAGCACTACCTAAAAATGCGCTTCTTAGATGCATGTATCGGTACTACGATACCAGTCTACTAGTGTACTAGCTAGGTCTTACTGTAGTTGTAATACTCCCTCCGGACTAAACTAAACTGCAGGTACGCCCGCGCTACTCAAAAATGCTATAGTAAATTATGATTGATTCGTGTGAAACATACGTTAACTGTCGGTTTCGCCAAAAATCGAAAAAGTGACCAGGGTGCCATTTCCATTAATCAGCTTGATTATCATACTGTTCTCTTCTCCTCTTTCTGCGGTTCATATCGATATATGATGTGTATATGGCCCTTCATAGTGATTTAGAGCTACGTTGGCTCCTTCTTTTTGAAGTAAAAAGTGGGCATAAACAAGTGTTCCATTCTCCAAAACCACTTAAGGCCGCTCTCTACCCAAGCGACTAAAGTAGGGACTAAAGGAGTACTTTAGCACCTTGTTTAGTCGCAGATTTAGTCCGTAACCTTTAGTCAAGGAGGTGTCTACCCTCCACGGACTAAATCTCGAACTATCCAGTTTAGTCGATATTTTAGTCAAAACTTTAAGAAAAACGTTATCTACCACGATCGACTAAACGTTCGACTAACCAACGTTTTCCTTTTGGATTTCGCTGCAGCCATTTCGCTCCCATTTCGCTAGCTAGCAGCCTCTTGTTCATTTCGCTAGCTTGTTCATTTCGATAGCTAGCCTCTTGTTCTTTATTGTTATTATTCACTGAGACCATGGCCAACACCAAGAAGAAGGCTAGTGAAGAGGACGAGGAGTCCTTTGTTGGCGAGGAAGAAGACGAAGAGGAGGTATCGCTGAAAGACGGAGAGGAAGAACAAGAGGAAGACTCTGATGATGATGATGAGGACAGTATCGCCACTGTAGACCTTAAACAGCAGCTTATTGATAAAATCAGTGAACCATTGAGGAGATCTCCTCGGCAGAAGACCAAGGTTACCACCAAGGCTGCCACCGCCAGGAAGAGACCTCGTTCTGGCAAAGGCGGCAAAGGCGGCAAAGGCGGCAAAGGCGGCAAAGCCGGCAACAACAATACTAAGAAAGTCAAGAAGACCACCGCTGTCGCTGATGACGACGGCAAGTCCAAGCGCAAGCGTGGTACGAATTTTGATGATTTTGAGGATCAACTATTGTGCCGTGCCTTCATCAGTGCCACCCAGAGCATGAAGGGCACCGGTATGAGAGAGGAGATTTCTGGAAAATCGAGTTGCTCCAAAATATCCATGGCTTACTACTCGCGCCGCGGCTGCTACTGCCGCTGTTGCCAATGGAGAAGTAAGTGAAAAGGAGTGGCCGATGACAATTCCGACTTGTCCTAATGACCACCGTATATCGACAGGATGACAAACCGTATATCGACAGATGACAACAGTGGAACATTAGCCACCCAAAAAACTATACGAGGTTTAATTCAATACTTAGTTTGTGTCCAGTTTTAAATTTACTAGAGCCACATGTAGACGCTCATCTCTGTGATATCCATCAGCGAAGCCACTGTTGCCTACGAACATAGTATCTCGAACACTCTTGGTTGTTCCTCCAACCAATCGGGTGGCTCCGCATAGCCGAACGAAGAGCCAGAAGAATAAATTGTAATCGCACATTGCCTCCAGAACCAGGGTAGGACCTTTTTGGCTCCTTGGAATGCTCCTTGCCATTCGATTGGCATGCTCCATCGATGTGCATACAGTCAAGACTTCCAAGCTCCAGGACACCGTGGGCCGCCAAGTGAAGATTGGAAATATTTCGTAAATCAGTGGCAGTCGGCAAACAAGATACTCGTCTTGATACAAATGAGCCAGGATGTCATCAAAGTTACTGCGGCAATCCCTTGCGAAGGTCTGGACATTTGGAAATAGTCAGGAATGGTTGAGCGGGAAAACCGTATGCCAAACATTTAACGGCATCAATAGACGTGCTTCCAAACATGATACCTTCCGTCGAAAGCATCAGTGGACCATGTAGAACTCATGACCCGAATTCATGACATCTTCTCTCAATCTCTGGTAAGAGGACGGCTGATGGGTAGATATCCTCAAATTCCTTGAAATCAAATGTAGGCACCGGTCCAAGATAGTCGTCTAAATACACTGGAAAGCTCTGGCATGGTTGTATTGCTTCCAGGTTTCCTTGGCAAAAGACGGTGGTCAACCATGGGCTGTGTGTGCCATCGTAATCATCGTGGCCAACATTACAGCGTATCTGCCATTCCCATGACGAGTCCAAGGCCTCCCTGGAAGAGTCGGAATCCGATGAGGACGAATAATAATAACGGCCTACCACAGAGGTGCCCACCACAGAGGTGCAAAGAGGCTACCGGTACAGTGACTATAAAGAAGTGACTAAAACGGTTGAGTTGCTGCTTCCTTGTTGGCAAGTAGCTGCCTCTCTTTTTGAGGCTGTGCAATGAGGCTTGAAGATTCTTTTTTTAAAGTTTTCTTAAAGAGCTTTAGTCGTTATGTTCGCTCACCGACTAACGGAGGCTGGTTAGTCGTGAGCGAACATAATGACTAAAGCCTTTAGTCCGTGGGACGTTTAGTCGCTTGGGTAGACACCACCCTCAGAGACTAAACTATCGACTAAACTACGAAATATGGCTTAGTCGCTACTTTAGTCGCTTGGGTAGAGAGCGGCCTAACAAGTTATATATAGAGCTATATATCAGTAGAAAGAGGAGATCAAGCGCTTTCTAAATCCGTTTTGCTCGCTTTAATTGATTGGGTTTCTGTTTAATTAAAGGAACTCGCCAGATACCTGCAGATTAGTTTGGTCCGGAGGGAGTAGGCATTACTGTACAATCCGAAGAGTATTACCAGAGTCTTAATGCACTGCAGGTCTTAATACTTAATACCCAGATCACTCTATCTCATTCTGAAAATTCAACATCGTGCAAAAATGCTGCTGAAAATTCAACATCGTCTGGTGCAAAAATGCAGCTGGGTGGAAACGGTCCTTGGACTCTCGCAAGCCAGCCAAACGGTGACTGGATTCGATTCGATTCATTCGATTCAGGCACAAGAAAGCCGTTAGCACTTGACTGAAGGGAGGCAATCAATGGTCATCCGAAGCCGAGAACCGAGAACTTGCACAGGTGTTCTCGATGGCGGCTTCGAGCACCTCACAAAGATCGCTGAACGCTCTTCCCGCGCTTGTTGCATAGGCATTGTGTCCATCAAGAAGATTTCCAAACTCATAGTACTTTCATTCCGCGCTTGGCACAACTCGCTCCTGTAATTGGTAACAAGCTAGCTAGAGTGGCATTATTTATCCTCCCACCTCGAACTCTTCCTTTCTTCTCTAGATTAGGCCATGGCAACTGAAGCTGAGACTCCTCCCCCTGCCGCCGATGGCGGAAACGCTGGTGGCGGTGACAAACCTGCAGGCAAAAAGCGCAACCGAAATCGGAACCGAAAAAAGAAAAATAAGAAGGCTGCCGAAGGAGCTGCTGGTGAGTCGGCTGATGATGGAGTGGACGAAAGTGCGGAATTCGACGAAGCCGATGCCAAAGACGAGGGTGACACAGCTGCCGCGGCAGGAGATGACAACAATGCCAACGACGACAGCAAGAAGAATGGCGGCAAAAACAACAATAACAACAAGAAGAACAAGAATAAAAACCAAAACAAAAGCAACAGTCCCAAGAAGGAGGCGCCAGCTACGTCGCTCCCGGCAGACATGGAAAAGATCAAATCCCTAGAGGCAAAACTGGAGGAGGCAAACACCAAATGCGCCAGTCTAGAGGCCGATTTGGAGTCTGCCAAGGCTGAGAAACCTGCAGGTGATGGTGATAGTGGCAATGAGGAGATCTCTGCTTTGAAGAAGGACAATGAGGAACTCAAAGCATCTTTGGAAGCGGAAAAGAAGGCGAACTCTGCCAAGGACGAAACTTTGGAAACAACGCGAACCGTGATGAATGAAGCCGTTTCCAAGGGTAAAGAATTGGAAACCAAATGTTCCAACCTTGAGGCCGAATTGCAATCTGCTAACTCCCAAATAGAATCTATGGTGGCTGAGAAAGATCAAGCTGCGAGTTCTGGTGGCAATGACGAGGAACTAGCTGCCCTCAAAACAAAGGTCGAAGAATTGGAAAAAGCAAAAGCCCAAGAAGTCGCAGATTTGCAAACGGAAAAGGAGAGCCTCGAAAAACAGCTGGAAGAGGCAAAGAACGCATCGGGTGCAGCTTCGGAAGGCAGTGCCAAGGTAGAAGAGCTGGAAAAGGCCAAGTCAGATCTAGAGGCCAAGGTTGAAACGTTGGAACAATCCGTCAAAGACAGCGAAGCCAAAGCGTCGGCATCTGTGGAAGAAATTGGCTCCCTCAAATCGAAGGTGGAAGCATTAGAGAAAGAGAAGGAAGAGCAGGGATCCGAAATTGAAGCCCTCAAGGGCAAGGTGGAGTCAGCGGGGAATGACAGTGGTGATTCTACAGCCTTGCAACAGGAAATTGACAGTCTTAAAGCCAAGGCTGAGAGTCTTGAGAAAGAAAAGGCAGACGCCGAGACGGAAAAGGCGAGCCTCGCTAGTAAAGTTGACGAACTAGAAAAGGCCAGCAGCAACGCAACGGCATTGCAGAGTGAAATTGACAATCTCAAGTCGAAGGCTGAAAGCTTGGAAAAAGAAAAGTCGGACATCTCGGCGTCACTCACTGCCGAAAAGGAAAGTCTTGCCAGCAAAGTGGATGAATTGGAAAAGGCCAGTGGTGATTCATCAGCATCGCAGAGTGTGATTGACGATCTCAAGGCCAAGAATGAAAGCCTGCAAAAAGAAAAGGAAGAAATATCGGCATCGCTCAAGGCGGAAGGCGAGAGCCTTCAAGCCAAGGTGGAAGAGCTGAAGAAAGCAATGACTGACGAACGCGCTACACTTCAGGCGGAACTCGATACCGCCAAGGATAGCTTTGCAAAAGATAAGGCCCAACTCGAACAGAATTTGCAATTGGCTTTCGATGCACAACTGGAGCAAGCAAAAGGAAAGCAGGCAAGTCTAGAGAAAGAACTGGAGCAGACACAGAAGGAGTTGAAGGAGTCCATTCAGAAAGTGCAAGAAAAGGCCACCGAAGTCGCGTCGCGAGAGTTGCCAACACCAGAGGGCGGCGAATATGTTTCCAAGCTGTGGCAAGGCAAGCTGGCTGAAAAGGCGAAGGAATTGAAGGATGCCGAGAAACGTTTGCAGGAGCTAGAGGCAGACCACAAAGATTTACAGGGTCGATTGGAGAAGGCCGTCGTGGACAAGAAACCTTGGTGGTTGTGTGGATAAGAGACTGCGGTGACACGGGGACGATGATTTCCGAACTAGAGTTTTTTAGTTTGTATACCTTGCATTCATGCACTCATGCATGGTAGGGGGCCCGCCTTTGACTCTTGGCTTTCAAGATCTTGTTCCTCAGCTTCAAGAAGAGTCTGAAACCAACCGATCACAAGATGGCGCGTTGCCGCCTTGTCTCATTCATATTAGGGCAGAAGCTATGCTTGTACCGTGATGTGTCAGATGTTTTTTAAATGTTGCTTTTGTGTAAGTAAAGTAAGATTCCTTTCCGTGTTTTTAGAGTGGGGTGGAGTACCGGCACGGCAGCTGTGCTGACTACAGTCGTTCGGAAGAATGCTCATGTCGACTCGACTCGTGGCTGTGAAAATAGTCTCTTGGTAGATCCGTGTTTACAAACGAGGCTTTCCCTTCTTGTACCAACTTGCTAAAGGTGGCATAATCATCGGGATCTCTCCCGTTGTGACCCCAGACTCCCACGTGGTAGCGTCTAGCAAGCTTTTGCAACACTTGAACACCGTCTGGTGTCAGCATCTGTGGTTCAAACTGTAGATACACTCCATCCAACCTTCCTTTGACCCATCCACGAATTTTCTTGAGCACTTCTTCCTCTTGCTCGCCAATAGAGACTTGCAATTCGACCTCTCTTTTCGGCACATCACTGACAGTCAGGACGATGAGTTTGGGTCGTTCGTATTTGATGGATTGTTGCGCTGATTTGGTGCCCTGTTCAATTACTGGACTGGGGAAGATTCCCATGCTGTAACATCGCCGGTGACCGAATGAGCTATTGCTTGCTTGGCCTCTCTCCGTTCTGCTTCCAAAGCGTGCATCCAGTTCTTCCTGCAGAGAATGCACGACAAAGGAATCAAACGACATGACTACCGCACAATGGGCCATTAAATAGGGATGCTGTCCAAAGAGTCTTGTCAACGCTGATGCCGCTTCTCTATTTCCAGGTTTGATTTCGATAATGAGTTGCGATTGTCCGCCAATGGCATGAGCGCTCTGCAGTACATCCAACAAGAGGGGAGGCCGCGAACCACTCTTGAGTGCCAAGCCCATGATTTCCTGAAAGGTCAAATCTCGCACATTCCGAGACGATTTCTCACAGGACGTATCCAATGCTAACCGTGAAAAGTCTTCGTCATGCGCCAGAATGAGTCGTTCATCTCGAGTGAGTGCAATGTCGCATTCACATAGATGAATGCCACTAGACCAAGCACGTTCATATGCCTCCAGGGAATTCTCCAATGGTCGCCGATCGGACCGATCTTGCGGTGAATGGAATCCACGATGAGCCACAAGATTGGGCAACAGCCCTAACTGATTGATACGTTCCACGGATTGTCGCAACCAGAGTAGTTCCTGGCGTCTCTTGTCGACTAGATGATCGTGTTCAGCATGTGAATCTTTCCTGTCGTCTCTGGTAAGCCTACTGAATGTATGGTTCTTGTTGTGGCTTTTGTCATCCTCCTGATAAGAAGGAGCAACAGGTTCTTCCGCCGTTGTGCTGGTTGTTGTCGTTGTTGTTTCATCAGGAGCTACATGGTCTCCTAATCCTAATTCTGATCGAAGGAGATCAATTCCTTGTTGCAATGCCGTCAATCCAATGACAAAGTTTGCAGCATAGATTTCCGGAAGCAGTTTAACCGATAGTGACGTTGCGACTCCCTTGTTGGTGTCTGATTCCGCGTCTTGCTCTTGTGTCGCACTATCGCTCATCACGTGTTGCCTGTGTGCCTTGTCAAACTTTTTGACCAGCTTTCGCAGTGCTTCTGCGTTCAACAAGGCAATGGCACGTAAATCCTTGAACCGTTCCGCCACTTCTAGAACGAGTGTATCCGGTGCCAGCTGTGTAAAGAGCACCAGAGCCTTTTCGGGTGGAGCTCCTCTTGCTTCGTCATGTTCGCACACGGCGGAAAAGACTTGACGCCAAAGTTGTTTCAACAAAAGGTCAAATTCTGCCGTTGCCTTTTGAAGAAAAGTGTGCCATTGAGCCTCAAATTCGGGACGTGAGACATGCTCCTCTTCGATACCCAACTTTGCGTCGTTGTAGGGAACGATAAAGGCATTATCGAGATGATGTTCATGTTCGACAAAGAACTTTTGGTGGCGTCCAAACTTGACCATGGTTGCTCTGGCTTCCTGTATCAATCTCAAAGCCCTTTAAAGTGCCATGAAAGCCAATGCTTGATGACATTCGGAAGCAACAAAGCAACCATGATGACGCGAAGTGATGCAGCTCCTCACTTGGTCTTTTTGCCACTTTGTGACGTCATCAATAATTGCCGTTTCATTTCGCGTGCAACACTCCAAATTTTTGTTTCTTTCCTTTCTAATCATCGTATCACTCCACTTTGTGTGCTGTGAGCTCCAAGACAACGGATGCTTGCGGTCTGGATGGATTGGCTGCTCTTGCGTTTGTCCCATTTCAGGACTTAGTTTTGAAATTGGATCGGCAGACAGAAACACGAGCATCGTCAGGAACAGCAACCATGTCCAACGAAGCCATCCTTGGGTCGGCACTCAACGAGGCTAGTACCGCTATCATCACCGTGAAGGATGAAGAACCTTTCATCGTGTTCTTTCGGTGCATGCTCTACTTGCTGGCTCTGTATGTGGCTGGTGACATTGTTTGTGGCAAGATATTGCGGGTGATTCCACCATTGGTGGGTCACATTGGCATGGGCATTCTGCTAGGACCCAATGGATATGATTTCGTGCCATCTTCCATGGTGGCGGCGTGGCCCATTCTCGGAGAACTCGGCTTGGTACTGATGCTCTGCCAAGCTGGATTGGAAATGGATTTCCAAGTGCTACGTGCCGTTGGACCCAGAGGAGCCTTCATGGCCTTGGTGGGCTCCATCTTGCCGACTCTTATTGGATTCCTACTGTCTTTTTACGTGCTGGAGCTACCACATGAGTCAGCATTGGCGGTGGGGTGTTCTTTTGGACCCACCAGTGCCGGCATTGCCTTGAATGTATTGCAACCTTGCGGAATATTAAAGACTGCATTGGGGCAACTCATTGTCGCCATTGCCATTGTCGATGATATCATTGCTCTGGTGGTTCTGTCGCAACTAAAGGCTCTCACAGCTGACGAAATTTCAGCATCCGCCATTGCAATTCCCATTGTCAGTGCCCTATTGTGGCTCTTTGCGGGAGGGGCTGTGGCTCTATACGTAATGCCCATTGTACTGTCAAAATTGACAATTCTGGAAAGGAATGTGCTCACAAGATGTGCTTCTCGTGATACAAGCAAGCAGGAAGATAACTCCCATCATTCCGCCAACTCCCAGACGCAAGACCACTACGAAAAACCCATGACTTCACTGCAATTGACACACATTGTAATCCTCCTCTTTGCTTTGTTACCAGCAACGTACTATTCTCAGGCATCCCACCTCCTGGGAGCCTTCTTGGCCGGATTGAGTGCCTGTCAACAACCACAAGCAGCCAACGCGTACAACGGCGAACTCGGAAAAATTGTCACTTGGTTGATGCGTATATTCTTTGGTGCGTTCATTGCTTTTGCCATTCCAGTGCAACTCTTTCGGGACCGGCAAGTGTTTGGGACGGGTTGTCTGTTGGCCTTGTCTTTGTTGGGAAAAATCATGACAGGCCCGCTTTTGACGCCGGTACACCTGCCACAACCCAAAACACAACAAGCTGGCGATGGATCTGTAACCTCAACAACCAGCAATGGCCAAACTTCCGATCGATGTTGTTTTGATGATCAGCATACACGTGATTGCTTTGTGGTGGGATTCTCCATGGCTGGCGAAGCGGAATTTGCCATGCTCGTGGCAGGATTTGGATTCAGCGAAGGACTGCTCGACGAAGAAATCTATGCGAGTACCGTGTTTGCCATTCTCTTGTCGACCATTCTCAGCCCGGTCCTTTTGCGGCTGACCTTGGCATTCCTGAATGTGGAACAACAGGACAACAATGATGAATGTGACGACGACCAAAGCAGCTGCCATGGACTGAGCAGCAATACACCCGTAAACACGACGGTGGTGAGCAATGGAGATGAGAATCCCGCTGACAATGACGTTGGCATTGAAGTTGTCGACATGGAAAGAAGCCATGAAACAAAAGAGAAACCCTGGCACAAAACACTTTTTGAGTGAGGACACACACTCTCACAAACATATTCCATCTCTCTAACCGCCTGCTATGGCATGTACTTTAGAAATAATTGACTTGTTGTTGTTATAGCCGTTGATGGAGACCGAACCAAAGGGCCCGAAATCATGATTTACATGTAATTCTGCTTTATATTTGGGTTTCGATTTTATATTTAGGTTTCGAATATATATTAAAAGTCTGGTTTGTATTTTGGTTTTGGTTTGATTTTACTAGTTATTTACCGTAGTAATTTGGTTTCGGTTTTATATTTAGGGTTCGATTTTATATTTTAGATTGGAATTGACCAATTTTTAAAATTGGATTCTTAGAATCCTGATTTCGGGCCCTTCAAACTTCAAACCCAACGGCGACGCACCCTTCACGTTTGTAAAAAATCCCCGTTCTGACCTTAGCGACGAAAAATCTTCAGAGCAAGGAACTGTCAAATCTCAGGGGTACAGGTATGGGGCAACCATATGTTTACCCACCACAACAGGGCACAACCGCATGCTGTACAACACATGAGGTAAGAAGCAGTTACGCGCCAGTACAGTAACGTTCTAAAGAAAGCTGAATTTTGACATTTTTGTATGTAGTTATGCGCAGTTACGCAGTAATACGCATTCACTGTTGGCATTGTCACGGGAGTCCGAAAGTTGCCCCATACGGTATACACATGTACACTACCGGTACCCCAGTCACAAGCTATTGGTAATTATTCATTGGACATCAAAGGAATGCAACGGATACGGTACAACAAAACAGAAGTGGAGACTGAAAGCTTCTTTCCCCAGCCAGTCGCCAAATCCAATCACCCGCTTAGCGAGCTGGACACGGGCAGTATCCGAAATTGCAGGTAGATGTCTGTTCAGATGTGGGTAAGTCGAAGACGACTGTATCTTCCACCACAGCATCTGGGAAGTAGTCATTGACAAAGCATTCTGAGACAAAGTCGTACTTCTCGCACAAGTTGTAGTATTCTTCCGTTTGAAGGAAAGCTGCAATGCATGGGTTCACGACGTCGGCAACTCCAGCGCCCTTCTTGGCAATCGTGAGAGTGGTACCAGCTCGAGCCCATTCAAACATGCCAGTCTGCACATAGGCAAAGGTATCACCAAGACCGTCCCAAAGCTCGCAATCCCATGGCGGGTTGTCATTCTCGGCACAGCCGCTGCGAAATGCTTGATCAGCGTCTGAAAAGATAGAAAAGGAAGAAAACAAATTAATGAGCAACAAGAGAAGAGTCGGGACCGAAGCAAAGCGAGGATTTGTGTACTTACAAACCCACATGGCATCGGCATCTCCATTCAGAACAGTGCGCAAAGCATCATCGTTGGGATAGTCAGTCGTGAAGCTGGGTTCCACCCATTCGTATCCCGAATACGGTTCTCCTGTACATTGATTGGTAACAATGGCCAAGTTGTCTTCTGTAGGAGCGAACCCAACAACCGTAGTAATCTTGACTCCATCGAGGTTGCTGTTTCCATCAATCACAGGAACCCCATTTTCCAAACGAGTCAAAATACCAGCAGCCTTGCTGTCATCGAGAATGGGATCTGAGAATTCCAAGTACCGGTTGCGGACTCCACTGGCGTGGGTGTAAGCGGAGCAGCCATGGAATTCTCCCAAGGCCAATCCTTGTCCAATACGATCACTTTCCCAGCACCGAGCCCATTGCGTCTGAACCAAGGTAACGTCAATGTCGCAGACTCCCATCATTCCTGACGCAAAGTCGGGACCAAATCCAGAGGTGGGGTAATCTTCCGAGGCAGGACCCAACTGAGCATAAGGAGGATAATCCACATCTTGAGCAAGAATCACATGAGGGCGATCCTTGCCAGGCATGACACCAGCCAAAGGAGGTTCCAAGGGTGCAGATCGACAGGTGGGTCCCGCCATGCCGTCTCCGTCTCCTGAAAATTCAGCAGGGCCGCCCATGCTGCCATCACTACTTTGACGCTCTGCTTTGGCAGGCAGCACTCGGCGGAAGCTATCGGCAGAAGCAGAGAGAAGAAAGGAGAGCAAAACCCCAGAACGAAGAGCAGAAGAGAGCATCATATTGACACAAGAATCTAGACTATGATAGATTGCGAGATGAAGATTTGTGAGAATATGCAAGCTACAGAAAGGAACCAAAGCGCTGCCAACCAGCCCGCAGTGAGAAAGACCGATCGAAGACCCTTCTGGTCTCTTGGGCGCGAAAGATCTGAAGCTCTTGAAATTTTGGTTTCCCTCCCAAATTTGGGCGAGTTTGGAAGCTTTCTGTTCTCTGCATTTTTCAATCATTCTAAAATTGCTCGATCTAGAGATACTCTCTACTAGCTAGAGTACTGAGTTAGAAGCGTCATTCGTAACTTGAAAAGAATTGTCGCGGCACTGAAAATAGTCTATAATGTGAAAGGGCCCGAAATGGCGATTTACACCAAATTCCGATTCATACCTGTGTTTCGATTTTATATTTTGGTTTCGGTTTAATATTTAGGTTTCGATTTTATATTTAGGTTTTGGCTTGATTTCACTAGTTATGGTTTGATTTTACTAGTTATTTACCGTAGTAATTTGGTTTCGGTTTTATATTTAGGTAAGGAATTGATCAATTTAATTGGATTCTTAAAATCCTGATTTCGGGCCCTTTCTGTAGGGTGCGAAGGAGTTTTCAACAGCAGTTCACAAGAACCCTATTCAAGAATTCTGAGCAGGTATTAATACAGTCGTACCTGGTAGAGTCGTACCGGTACACGTACCGGTACTGGTACAAGTAAGGGGACCGTTCGCTAAGGAACGGTAGGGTTGGGGCTTTTATTTATTCCACGAAACCATTCCACGTTCTCCTCGTCCACGACACCAAACTTTGTTCCATCGATTCGAACAAACCATCTATTGGCGCAACGCAAGTCAACTGAAGACATACCGTACAGTACGCCACTAGCTAGCGAAAGTTAGTACAACGATGATAAATGCTTATCTGATGGTTTCAAAGCCAGGGTAGATGATGGGAGCTCCTGAACAGCTGATTTTCCCGTTTTTTAAGACTTCTGAGTAAAAGATAACTTAGAGTTCTATCTACCTGAACTACACGTACCTTTTTTAAAAGGCTATCTTTTGAGTTCGTCGAACACTGTCCACCACAATAATCCACGTTCTTTGGCAAACTGGTTTGGTGTTTGCTTTTTCTGTTTTGCCTGTCTTTGTGATGTTCATCCTTCAGCGATAGCCCAAGACCGTTGACCTACGGGAGACCAAAGAAAGCACCAAACCCAAGAGCCGTGGCACCAATCGCCTGCATTGTGGCGGTGAAACCACCTGCCATCACACCACCGCCATAGGCAAGAGCTTCGACTGACATGATCGACGCAGCGATACTTCCAGCAGCAATGCCTCCCGAAGTGTAGCCAAGCAATCCAGCAATACCACCAAGGATAGCCAAGAGAACCATGGTCTTGTATTTCCTTCTTTTTCTTTTTATTGCTTCGACAAGCAGAGATTTGTGGTTTTGTAATAAGCTTCACTTGATTTCAAGGTAGCAGAAACCTGAAAGGGTACACTCCTAGCTAGCTACGGCATGTGCTACGTGGGCCGAGTACTGAGTTGAAAATTTCAATGGGGGCAAGTGTGCCTCTAGAGTAGACTAGTAAACCTGGAATGAATCGAAGTTCGCACCTCTGCTCCTCGACATTCTCCGGGCCTCATTCCGCCGTGGTTACGGTACAGTACCTGGTACTAGCTAGCTAGCTAGTAAAGCTACCGTACATGATGTAGAGCTACTAGTACGGTACATCGGAGGAAGCTTGTTGCCCAGAATGGTCAAGGATCCACTCCGTGAAACGGGAGGAAAAACTCATAGTGCTTCCTGACGCCATTGTATTCCTCCACATAACGAGCATCGTCCTGTAGAGCATGAAAGCCATACGTCTCTAGCAAGTGAAAGACGCCGTATTGTCGGGCCGACACGTCGCAATGATACGCTCAAACGTTTCTCCACCAGGAAGTGTTACACCATGTAGTCGCAACTTACGAGCATAACCCATAAGCCAATTCATCGTTTCACCAGCATATCACTTATCCCAGCTTTCCTTTCTCACCAATCCAGAAACTTCTGCGCTGTTGTCCTTGCCACATGGCTCGAGTACTGCAATGCCCACGAGACAGTTTGATTTCAGCTCCCGGACAGTAAAAACTGTAAAGTGGCAGCCCTCTTCCCACTGTCTCTGAAACCTTTTGATGCGCCAATGAGTTTCTTGGAATGTGCGCGTTTTGCCGGCACACACTTTCTCCATGACATCTTTGTCGCCATGAAGATACTTGTTTATCTCCTCTGCGTCATCAGTGTGGCAGGGGGAGATACTAAGCCTCTCAGTCATCTTGGGCCATCCACCTACGACAAACTCACGAATGTCATGATCAACTATATCCATGATTGGTTGCTGCAGGAGGTTCTCGTCAACTAGGTTCGAAGTGAGATTCTCAGTAGGCGACGTGTCAGTCCTAATCACAGTCAGAGGCGAGACAATCTCGGGCCACCCTTCAACTGTCACAGTGTCTCCTTGTGCGCACTCACTTCCAGATTCCTGTCCTTCGAGAGTTGGATCTCCTAGAGGAGTCTCAAGGTTATAGCAGTTCTTGTCATCTAAAGAAAGCTCACCAGCTCGTGGCGTCGTCGCCGGGAGTCCAGCAACTGCCACAACCTTGCCCAGTGTTTTGCCGGTTTTGAACTGTTGCATTTCCACGCCCGCAGGCACCTCGGAACGCCCACTCTTTGTCGTTCCTGGAAGTCGTCGCCTTGACCGGTCAACGACATCAAACTTTCCCTGTTTGCACTCTGAAATCCAACGTCCAAACACCGTGTTCTTGACCCCATGCCTCAAAGCAAACGCTTCCCGTGTTGTCTTAGCCATCTTTGCCTTTTCTGATCTGCCACTCCTTGGAAGAACGCCTTGACTAGATCCCTCTTGAATCCTGCTGCATAGCTCCTTCTCGTGGATGCCATTGCGCAGTGATTTTCCTTGTTGCTCTGATATTTTACCGCCAAGGAATTGGAGCTGCTGAGAGAGTACAACCCAGCAGACGTTTGGTTGTATCATAGTCCTCAGCTAGCTAGATGAGTGCACCAACAGCAGCAGCAGTAACGTAACATTGCAATAAGCCACTCGTCACTCAAGCTTTCAGGTTTTCAGGAGTAGCCTCGCACGCAAATCCGCGAGGTGGCGTCCTCCAACGAGACCACAACAGACGCACACTAACTTTATTCCATCCGAGTAGGGAGACAATCTCGAAATACCACCAGCCTCTCAGTACATGTAACTAGTTGCCATGATCTTTTAGAAGCAACCAAAGTACTGTAGCTAACTACGGGCAGCGAGAGCCAACCAGTAGTCTAGCTAACTGCATCTACTAGCAGGGCAAGCTAGCTATTTGTGGATTGCTGTCGCAGACACGCATGTATCCACTCCATTAATGCCTGTGTAATCTGCTTGGACGATTCTGGCTGAATGAGCAGGTCATGGCCAGCTTTTGATAGAACCTTGATTTCTTTGTTTGGGGACTCTACCTGTTGATAAAAGTCTTGGATACAACTGAGGGGCACCACATAATCTCGTTTCCCAGCAATGACCAATACATTGGGTGTCATTTTCAAAGCTAGTCTCCCGGGTGTGGCAATATCATTGGGCACTCGTTGGGATGTCAAATCCAGCAGCATCTTGCAGGTTGCCAGTGGCCAATAGCCAGTAAAGTTGCGTTGCGTGCTAGAAGGACAATTGTAATGGCTGGCATCTTCATAAGGAGTCACACTTGGAATCTGCCATGTTGGACCTATACATGCCAATGCTTGCAAGCCAGACACTAGAGTCCAATGAGGAACTGCCTGAGGAGCAACACCCATTGCAGGAGCAATAGGCGCAATGCCAACGAAATCATCGACCCGAGACGCCACGTAAATAGCCAGAACCCCACCCAAAGAACTCCCGGTGAGAAAGGTGTGATCTGGATTCAACTGCTCGATGGTGAATTCAATGGCGCCTATCACTGAGGCCAGAAGATGCTCAAACTCTCGTACCACGCCACGTGTTCCCGAGGAGAGTCCATGACCTGGGAGCTCCAGAACTGCCACTGTGATTTCTGTAGCAGCGGCGACAATAGATTGAACGGCCAAAGTTTCGGCAGATTCGCAAATCCCAGGAATAAAAATCAGCAAGGTCTTGCTGCTGGCCCGAACTCCACCGAATACTTCTATGTTCATCAGCTGATTGTCATCGGTCTTGTACACCAAACGAGACGTCGCCGCTATGAGGTCCTCGTCTTTGCTAGCGCCCATAAACGCCAAGGGTGCCTCCTGCAGTTCCTCCATTGTCAGACAATAGATAATACCTCGCTGCTTGTACTCTGTTGCCAGGGCAGGTTGTGCTGAATGAATGTTAAAGCACAGCTTTGAGACAATGCCATTCTTTCTCACTGTATAACATCTCTCTCATGCGCGCACCTCATTCTTGCTTGAGCTCTGAGGTGCATCACCTCAGCAGGTAAACTGCCTGAGTTCTCAACCCCTTTAATGCTATTTCCTATTTCCTATTTCCTATTTCCTATTTCCTATTTCCTATTACCTCGGCAGGTTAACTGCCTGAGTTCTCAACCCCTTTAATGCTATTTCCTATTCCGGCGAAGCCAAAATATAGGGATAGAGATAGTCTTAAGCCAACAAAACTGGAAATTGAAGGTTCTACAAATTTAGGGGTAGGAATAAATCATGATTATTCAAGGTTAGTACACTCAACACAATAAGCCTGCAGAAGCTACAAAGAATACAATTACATAAGGGAATGACAGCTGTAAAATTATGGTCAGCGGGCGGCAACACACTACGAAGTCGGGTGTTGTCACCAGGGCTAGCTTAAATAAAAAGAAGGTTACAATGAGGGAATGATACCAGGCGGCAACACACGACGAAGTCGGGTGTTGTCGCCAGGGCTACCTTGAAAGAAGGATGCAATCTCAAACATGATCCTCGTTCTTCTATTTGTCTTTCTGCCGAGGTATCGCAGCTCCCGCTGACCTATTTTCTATTTCCTATTTCCTATTTCCTATTCCGGTGAAGCCAAAGTAGAAGGATAGAGATAGTCATAAGCCAACAAAACTGAATATTGATGGTTCAATACAAGTTAGGGGTAGGAATAAATCATTAATATTTAAGGTTAGTGCAATCAGCACAGCAGCACAATAAGCCAGCAGGAGTTGTAAAGGTTAGAGTTACAATAAGGGAATGGCAGCTGGTAAATTATAGAGTAGCGGGCGGCAACACACGACGTAGTCGGGTGTTGTCGCCAGGGCTAGCTTAATAAAGAAGGTTGCAATGAGGGAATGGATGATACCGGGCGGCAACACACGACGTAGTCGGGTGTTGTCGCCAGGGCTGGCTTGAAAGATGGGTGCAATCCAATAAGTTTCTAGAAGGATCAGTTCCAGTACTGAAGTAGTGGACTGGATCTCGCTGAAACCCTTCCTCAGGGACAGCGGTAGTCAGGCAGTTCAGGGAGCCTTGTCGTGCCTCAGGAGTGTTCCAACACCTCCAGTAGCACCAACCAAGGACTTGGCCCTGTCAGTCAGCAGGAGGGCCAGCAGAGCTCTCTGCTGGGCCTTTGGGCCAGCTCCTCAGGAGCTGGGGGCCTTCGTTATTCAATCGTGCAGTGGCAGTCTGGGAACAGTACTATCTGCTACCTCCTACTGCTTCTGCCCGGCCTCAACAGGATAGGTATCACTGCTGCGGTATCAAAGGCTACAAGCTAATCAGGACGGTCTCAATCTTTCGTACTATTTCTTAACTATGGTAGAAAGGACGATCCTTTCTTGCTGCTTTGCTGAGATAAGCCAGCTGCGGGTGCTGGAGCTGTAGGCCAGCATAGCTTGGAGCTATCTCTGACGGGATCCAGAGCTCTCGCTCCTAAAAGTTATCGCTCCCACGAGTGCGTATGGATCCGCTCTCATGGGAATGCCACGATATACGATTAGTTACTAACTAACTACAATACATACTCTCCCCATGAACGGAACATTCATGGGCCACTCGGCATCAACTGCTAGTGGAACACAATGTCAGATTGGAGATCTCACAAGTGGAGGGACTTGCATGGTTGGTCGGTTGCTGGACCAAAGGTAGGCGCAAATGGATTGCGTGCTTCATCAGCATGACCAGACTCGGTCGGTGTCGGCGGTGCTGGTTGCTATCATAGCTGTTGTTTGTTTTCTTCATATGTAGACAAATATTGTGGCTTTGCCACAGGCCGAATTCAGCAGTGGCAAGCTCTCAGTGGAGCGGCCTTCTTGCCCCGCAATCATGTCCCTTGACGGATGGCATGGATGGGCTGTACCAGACAGGGACGTAGTCTAGTTGCCCGTCCGAAAATCCAGGGGCGTCACCGGGATTGGTCCATTGCCATGCACTGATGCCATGGCAGCCAGCTTTGGGGTAGAAAGCATGATGGCGGTCAGCTTCTGGGAAGGCGACACCATGGCGGTCAGCTCCTGGGTAGGAGACACCAAAGCTGCCTTGGTCAAAGGTGCTTGCTGTGGTTGCTCCCCATGGATTCCACCAAGTATCTGTGTGGTGGGCCTTCTGGCAAATGGACTGGTGATGGTTGGACCAAGGCTGGTCCTATCCAAAGACAACGGCACCTCATTGGGTACGAGTCTTGTGGCATTGGCTGTGCCATAGGTTGGTGGTTCTGAGGGAACCAGGCTGGGAACCTTGGGTGTCACTGTGGGTGATGGACCACTAGGTCTCCTGCCAATGTTGGTTGTGGTGGGACCCTTATGTGCTCTGTGCCTTGGAGCAGGTTGCTTGGGGGTCACCACTGTGTGAGTCTGCTCATGTGCTCTTGGTTGTAGAGCAGACTGAGTGGGAGCCACACTTGGTCTATTTGGTTGTGCAACTGGAATGTTGTTCACGCCAGCTCTGGAAGCTGGTAGCTTGCTGGCTGGAGGTTTTGCCATCACGATCTCCCCAGAGGTTGGATGACTACTAGGGCTGGCAAGCTCGATAATCTCCCCATCATCCAACGATGGATGGGCACCAGCGAGGGCATTCAAGGGTGTGGCACTGGGCAGCTGGTGGCTCGTAGCTGGGACACGCAGGGGTCGTGTGACAGGCAACTCCCCACAAGCTAGCTTGGGAGATGGAGCCGTGGCTACATTGGTGGGCAGCTGGTTGGTAGCCAAGAGGGCATTGGTCAATCGTTGCTGGATGGCAATGGCATCCGGTCCTTGCTGGATGGCAGTGGCATCTTGCTTGGAACGAGTAGCCCTGTGGCGCTGCTGCTTCTTTGGGCTGTGGAGCCGTTGGGTACCAATAGCACTGTCACCAGTCGGCTTGTGGACGCCATCAGCACTGTCCATGGCTGGCAGTGGAGTGGCATTGGTCTCCCCATGAACTGATGGTGTCAAAGCAGGTGTAGGTGCTGTGACAGGTGGCCTAGCAGCTACCATGACCAAGGCGTCCAGTTGAGCTGTCAGTTGGTCCCTCAGGGCGATGAACTGAGCTTCCATCTTTCGTTTGAAGGTTTCGTGGTCAGCTCTCATGTCTTGCTTGAATGATTCGTGATAAGCTCTCATGAGGTCGAGTTGTCGAGCAACGGTGACCTGTTGCTGTTGAAAGCGGATCAGCATGTCTTCCATGGCTGGGTTATAGATGAGGTCTGGGTGACAACTGGAGCTGTTGGGAGACAGCTCTGAAATCTCCCCATCACCCAGCTGGTGGTTGGTCCTACCGTAGGCCATGGGTGCCGGCCTCTTCTCAAGGATGTCGAAGGGTGATGTGTATGCGTCTGGTGGGGACACTGTTGACACAGGTGGTGCCGGTGTCTTCTCAAGAATGTCAAAGACGGATTTGTATTCATCTGGTGGTGACACTGGTGGCTGTGTGTCTCGATGCCGGTGGCAGTAGGCTAGGTTGCTGTTGCCAGCTCCATCGTGGTGTGTGGGGCGGGCACAGGCGGTGTAGCTACTTTGGACTTGGGGCCCAGGGTAGGCGTGGTGCCACCAACGTTCGGAGTAGCCAGGTGCATAAGGGTCGCTCACATCGCTGTAGAAACCATAGAAAGACATGGTGCCGCTTGTTGCTGACAAAGAAGAGGTGTGTGGCATGTACCTGGGAAATACTGGAATTGGGCTCTTGTAGCAGGGCAATAAGCCTTGGCTCAACTGTAATCTGGAATCCACAAAGATGACCTCCAGGAATCTTGCTATGGGCCTGGAAAATTCAATCTAGGTGTAGTTGAATAAGGTAGCCAGTGTAGAGGGTCTGGAGCCTGCTTCCTGTGTTGCCGTGGTGCTGGGAATTGGCTTGGTTTTGGTGATTTTGCCTCACTGTGGATCCAGACAACTTGGGTCCAATGAATCTCCCCACCAAAGCTTCCAGAATCCAAGGTGAACTACCCACTGACTAAACAAAGGGTGGCGGATGCGCTGGTAACACTTTCAGCCAAGCGAATTGACCTCTTGGTTGCCTCGAGAGCTCTCCGAGTGGCTCTTCTTGTTGCAATCGTTTCGTGATTTCAAGGACTCGACCGAATTCAATGACTCGACCACGTAAACACCTTGAAAATGTGAGCGCAAACAGGTTACGGTGGCTGATCCTGCTTTCAGAACGGAGCAATTGAGCCTTAAAGGTGAAAACCGGTACAGAACTTCTAGGATCGATACGGAACGTTCTCGGTCGTGCAGAACTGACTCAGTGCACTGGCAATAAGTACCGTATCACTCGAATACTGCACGGGCAATTTGATTGGCTGATCGGCTTCCGAAAGGACTTCTTCAACGTTCCGAAAAAGGCTGAATCCGGTACAGGACGGAAGCTCGTGACAGTCGGAAACTGCACGGACGTTTTGAAAACGTTCCGTGGAATCCCTCAAGAGATAAGCCTCGAAATCAACAATAAATCACGAAACTCGCTGAAGGACTGCAAGGCGATAAGCCCGTATTCAAAAGAGATATCGTGCTGTTTCCCTTGATAAGTACCAAAGTTCCTTGAGACGTAATAGACTTCGTCTCAGTTGCCAAAGGGGTGCGAACCGATAAGTCTTGTGTTCTCTCGGAGACTCCAGCTGGTGGTTCAACGGTACCAGTGACTTCTTTCAAGTAAATTGGGTGCTTTTATCACTCTCTTCCGTGCTACCGGTAGCTAGCTAGCTAGCCGAATGCTTGCTTGTTGCCTTCGTCAATAAGGTTGTTGTCGGAATATAGGTCCTTTTGAAGGCAATGGGCTTTGTGTTGGGCTTGTAGATTGGTGTTTGGTCAAGCTGAAGGTTCCTGTCACTGTGGTGATGGCTGGAACTATCAAAATCGAACAGGAGGTTGTTG